GCGATTTGTCCCATGCGCGCGCAACCCTCTGCGGAGATCGTGCGTGTTGAGTGCGCGAAATGCAGGCGAGAGTGCGATTTGTCCGGTGGAGCTGGAAGCTGAGAACTGGCGACCTTGTAGTACAACTGTAGTACGTGGAGTATCTGGGGAGCTGGAAGCTGAGAACTGGCGACCTTGTAGTACAACTTTAGTACGCGGAGTATCTGGGGAGCTGGAAGAGAGTCCCACAAGAGTGTCCCGCAACAGTGTCCCACTAGAGTGTCCCAAAAGAGTGTCCCTTAAGAGTGTCCTACAGGAGTATCCCACAAGAGTGTCCTACAAGAGTGTCCCACAAGAGTGTCCCACAAGAGTGTCCTAGAAGAGTGTCCCACAAGAGTATCCTATAAGAGTGTCCCACAAGAGTGTCCTGCAAGTGACCCACAAGAGTGGCCCACAAGAGTGTCTCACAAGAGTGTCCCACAAGAGTGTCCTACAAGAGTGTCCCACAAGAGTGTCCTACAAGAGTATCCCACAAGAGTGTTCCACAAGAGTGTCCTATAAGAGTGTCCCCACAAGAGTGTCCCACAAGAGTGTGCCACAGGAGTTTCCTACAAGAGTGACCCACAAGAGTTTCCTACAAGAGTGTCCTACAAGAGTGTCCCAGAAGAGTGTCCCACAAGAGTGTCCTACAAGAGTGCCCCACAAGAGTGACCCACAAGAGTGTCCTACAAGAGTGTCCTTCAAGAGTGTCCCAGAAGAGTGTCCCACAAGAGTGTCTTACAAGAGTGTCCCACAAGAGTGTCGTACAAGACTGTCCCACAACAGTGTCCCACTAGAGCGTCTCACAAGAGTGTCCCTTAAGAGTGTTCTACACGAGTATCCCACAAGAGTGTCCTACAAGAGTGTCCCACAAGAGTGTCCCACAAGAGTGTCCCACAAGAGTGTCCTACAAGAGTGTCCCACAAGAGTGTCCCACAAGAGTGTCCCACAGAGTGTCCCACAAGAGTGTCCTACAAGAGTGTCCCACAAGAGTTTCCTACAAGAGTGACCCACAAGAGTGTCCTACAAGAGTGTCCTACAAGAGTGTGCCACAAGAGTGTCCCACAAGAGTGTCCTATAAGACTGTCCCACAAGAGTGTCCCACAAGAGTGTCCCAAAAGAGTTTCCTACAAGAGTGTCCTACAAGAGTGTCCCACAAGAGTGTCCTACAAGAGTGGCCCACAAGAGTGTCCTACAGAGTGTCCCGCAAGAGTGTCCTACAAGAGTGTCCTTTGGACATATTAGTTTTTCGATCGTGTTTGCATTCGGGTTCGTGGGTTCCATCTTGTTTCACCTGCAGTTTGTTTTTGGTCGGGAAACCCATCCACAAGAATGGTTAAATAAAGGTTACGCGGGATGGCACGAAACAAATACAGCAAAAAGGCTCAAACACCCTCACACGGTTGGTTTTTTCACAACAAACAGAGTTTTGCTCGAGCTTCGTAATGGTGCCCCCTGTTTCCTTCGTTTGGGTGTCTGGGTATGTCGGGGTGCTGCGTGTGTGCATCCCTCTTGGCAGGTCTTCTTCCCTTAAACTGCCTTAAACTCATTGGGAAGACGCCTGCCATGCTGGCCTTCGCCCGAAAGCCCCGGTCGACCCAACGTGGATCCCGGATCCGTCGAAGGGCGGTCGACTGTTTCGCGGTGAGAAGACCAGGTTCACTGGTCTAAGCAGCATACTGAGCGGCTCGGGAGAACCAGCAGGGTGTATAAATTCTCACCAGCTGCATTACTGTAAGGGTAGAACGAAAGATAACACAAACCCACCAGAAATACTAGCACTTGACACAATCACCTGCGCCCTGGTTCCGCTCGACCCCCAAACACATCACCCAACCAGGTCGTGTGTTTTGGCCTCAACTCAAACACGTGGTTCCTGACTAAGTATGGGGGTGTAACCCTCCATGGGTTTGTATGGGTATAACCTAGGGCTTCACCTAGGGCTTGTATGGGGGGCGGATGTTGTGGGTCTAACCCTCCTCTCCACGTGTGCGCGCTCCATCCGGAGGCGTCCAAGACCGAACCACACGCGCTCACCGGTGCGGTGCCTTGAAGCTTGGAGCCTGTGCCACCTTCGAGGCGAGCCGTGGGACTCTGTCTGCATCGGATTGCATCGGTGGATCAAACCCCAAACCCTTGAGTCCGGGAATCCCAAGCGCTTGGGACCAGGGGGGGTTGAACAACTCACGGAACAGGAACTCGGAGGCTTTGGGGGGATCAAGCATCTAAGAAAAGGTGGAAACATGTGGAAAATCAACATCTCTGAAACCACCAGCGACAGAATCCAACCTCCCATGTGTTTGGAACTGCAGTTCACAGGCAGCGCCATGCTTCAGGCTTGATGTCGCAGGTAGCCAGGTAGCTCGTCATTTTTACAAGCTAATCTTGCACAGAAAGATCCCTGTAGACCCGGTAGACCCCTGGGTGTTTCAAACAAAATGCCACAGCCCAGTCCGATCGTTTGTTCGTTGGAACGGTGGTTTTCCGGTGGACGAGTCCGTCCCAGTTAGCTCGCTGGCTGGGAACATCTGCTCAGTTAGGGGTCTGACGTCAAAAAAGGTGTCTTGAGAGCATCTGCGGACGCTGGACGATCCCTACATATCTGTTCAGGCCGCCAGGCCAAATCATATATGATCGAACCAGGAGTCGAAACCCAAAGGAGTCAGGGCAGTTGTGCCTGCTCGTTTTTGGTTCCGCACTCAGTGGTCTGAAAACCGGAGCGTCTGAGCCTGGGCCTCTGACTTCATCTAAGGAACCGACTCCCTCGCCGTTCCCACAAAAGAAAGGTTCACCTTTTCTGCCATCTGTTCCTTTTAGTAGGACCCCCAAAACAGCTTTGCAGGTTATTCACTAACGGGGCGGGTCAAAAGTTCACTAAGTTCAAGTAATATATATATATATTAACTTACTGGGACTCCTTCTACAAGCAAAACAAGGCTACCTGACCAAAGAATCAACAAACAAAATACAAATTATCTCATGTGTTCATTGCTACCAGTACCTGTGAAAAATGGAGAAGCCGCTGAAACCGCCTGCAGAAGGGCGGAGGAAGAGGCGGAGGAAGAGGCGGAGAAAGAGACGCACTCCTGGCGAAAAGAACGGCGAGGCGGCGGTTCGGAGAGACGGTTCTGGTGTCCTGTGAAGCGAAATCAACGCGTTGGGACTGGAATTACAAAAATCACCACCCCAATGTAAATGAATGAAAAGGAACTATTTTTTTGGTATAGAGAGTGTTTGGGTATGGAACATGGCACAAATATTGGAGGTCCGAATTTGGGATCCCCACCAGAAGTCTACACGGTCCCCATCCTTCGGTTTGCTGTGTGCCCCTCGGTCCGTAAGAACCGGGGGCGACGGGCAAACAGAAAGGGCGAGATCCGTAGAAGAGCTGAAGAGCGGAAGACCTATCGGGATTGAGAAAAGTCCATGTTTCTGTGGTAAAATCTTCCAATACCCTAGGGCCCTAGGGATCCAGTCGTACCTCCTCAGTTGAGGTACGACTGGACCCGACAATGGCACCCACCCCAGTCCCACCTTCGAAACGAGGGTACGACTGGTTCCTTAGGGATAATATATTCCATTCAAGACCGGTGAAACGTGTGAGTACTTGTACAATGTTGCTTGTACAAATGCCCACAATTTTTATGAAAACCACTTTGGCTAGGATGTACTTGGTCATTTCCTTTGACATTGGCTGACTGAAGACCCTGACTTGACGACCTTGGTTCCTAGTTTCCCAAACCACCCAGCTACTGCACGCCTCAGTGTGACAGGCTGCCTGGCAGCGCAAAAGCTCCGCTTGAAAAGGGCACAAAGAAGACACTTATTATAAACACATAACAAATACCCTCCCGCTCCCACACAACACGAGTAAGAAATTGTTTGAACATGAACATGTACTCTAAAAAGAAGGGTCTCTGGCTTGGAAGCCAAGGGGTGCTTGCTGCATGTCTTCCATCCAACTCCACCCAACCTCAGCGCGGCATACCGTGGTGAAGGACCGTTGAGTGACCGATATGAGGATGAAACACCGACCCTCATCTGCAATAGCATACAGTCATCCAGTCAGCCGGGTTGTGGGACTCATGGTGAAGTCTTCACCCCCAACACTTTGGACCATGCTTTGGTTTTATCCTCCGGAGCACTGATGCATCACATGAAGTCTTCACCCCCCCTTCAGTTGCCAAACTGTTACAAGGATGCTTCCTTCTCTTCAAAGGGAAATATAGACACGGCACACGGGTTCTGTCTGATGTTCTACGGCCCACTGCCCGGCCCCGACGCGACCAAAGCACCGCCGTGCCTTGGGACTCGCTGCACAGCCTCGAAGGACTCCTTAGGGCAATTTCTTCCAAAAGAGAGAGAGAGAGAGAGAAACAAAAATAAGAACATTCAAACACACACAGAATGTGACATCTATCTAATTACATCAATAATTCATATCTCGTGATATATCGATATGATCAATATATCTCATAGATCGCATATATATATATATATTATATTGCATATATATACACATGAATATACAATAATTATTAGACATGCTTCTCCACATCGCACCTTGGCGAAAGGAACCGGTCGACCGCAAACATCGCACGTCGCCGACGAACGCAGGCATCCCGTTCGAACGTCTTCCCAACATGAGGGACCCAGGGAGGCTGAAGCGTTCAGGTATGAGTAGCAAGATCTGTGCAAAGAATATGTTTTAGTTCGGAGGTCAAATTCTGGAGCCTGGAGCTGGCAAAGATGGAGCTGTTTACCATCTCCTGACTGTTTTGAGCGGTGGGTTGTTCAGTCTCAACAAAACCCAATCGCTGATGTAGTTCCCTCCCTGAGATTGGATTAACCCTGATCTCCAGTCTCCTCTTGCCGCAGGATGGTTCTCCATGGATTGTTCTCCTTTCGGTTCCGTAACCGGCCGCACCAGGCACCCGGAAACTCTAACGGTCAGGTTCCGCTGCCGCCAGGGCAATTGAAGACCAAAACAAGTGGAGCTTTACCGCCGGAGACTCACCTGCATCACTGAGCCGCCCCAGCCAAGCGCGCCCAGCGCGCGAGAAAGGACCTGCGTCGTTTTGGACGCATCGGACCAAATAAGAAGTCAGACTTCATGCCATCAACTCGACCGGTTCCCAGCGGTTTCCAGCGGTTCCCAGCGTTGATCGTCTGAGATCCATCGTCTTATATTGGGGTGTACCGGTGGATGCAATCGGATCCTTCGCAGCCTCCAAATATTATAGTTAATTATACCCTAAGCGCTTAACTTCGTATTTATAAATACCAACCTGGAACCTGAAACGACCACTTTTTTTGGGTCGTTTGAAAAAGACCATTTTTTTGGTCGTTTCAAAAAAATACGGTCGTTTCATCTTACAATCATTTTCTGTATGAAAAATACGGTCGTTTCATCATGTATAATTTGCATGTGTATATACGAGTTTCATCAAATAGTATTCTTTTGAACGTTGCTCATATTCGTCAGCCTGTACAGCTGAAAGAGGTGAAACGTGAACGAATTCACCAGCCCTTTGAAACACTCATTCACCCTTTGGGTGAACTCTTTCACCGGCCCTGGCCACTCACTCAGGCACGTGTGTCAACACCACACATTTGGCACACCACCAGGCATTGCCTCCTGCAATCTGAGAGGTTGCGAGCGATATCCTGCAATTGCCTCAGACACACAAGTTTTCAAACAACAAAGCAACACTAATTGTCTTGGGCTTGTGAAAGCCCAAGACAATGGGCTTGTGAAAGCCCAAGACAAATCCATGAGCACTAGACCATGCACAAACACTGAATGCAACCACGCAGCCTGCTCATCCAGCGATGCTCTTGTGAGCCAACCGTGCACCAATCATCAAGGACATCGATGCTGTAGCGTTGAAGTTCCTACATGCAACAAACATGCCACAAGCAATCAAAAATTTTCATGGATTTGGTTGACAACTTTGCCATGCACAAACATAAAACAAATTGAGCCCAGAGTCAAACTGAGCTAGATCGAGGGATGCCTCCAGCGCTTGCAAATTGCGCATTACCCGTAAGGCGTGTTGTAGCTCCGGCGTCGGCAGTCCCACTGGTGCAGCATTCCACTGTGCTTGAACAGCAGGTGCATTGGCCTCAGCCTGCTTTGGCACTGCCTTCCGAGGCACTGCTTGACCAAGCACTTGGTCAGCTTGGCCTGGCGGAGCCTTCCGCGGCACTGCTTGAGGAACTTGGTCAGCTTGGCCTGGCGGAGCCTTCCGCACCACTGCTTGAGATCCAAGAGCACTCTGCAGCTCTGGTGGTGGAACTTTGTACGGCGGTGAGTACGACACAGGGCGCCCTGCCAACACAAAAGGTGGCGCATCCGCCGACATGGCAGTCCCAGATTTGGCTTTGGCAGGATCAGCCATTGAGCCACTCATGCAAAAAAACTTGCTCGGGCCAAAGTATGCTGGCGCATCAAAACATCAAAACATACATGCAGCAGTGCACAGCATTTGCGCATAAGTGGCCCTCCTCACACCTGGTCTGTTTTGAAGTACATTGTGTACTGCACACATATCACAGATAGGTACCTGTGAAGGCACCTATCCAGCAATTCGGGCACTCACATGTTTCCCACATAAAGGCATTGTGAAAGCCCATACATGGGAACCATGTGAAAGCCCATGCATGCATGGGCATTGTGAAAGCCCATACATGGGAACCATGGGAACCTTGTGAAAGCCCATGCATGCACAGGCATTGCGAAAGCCCATACATGGGAACCATGGGAACCTTGTGAAAGCCCATGCATGCACGGGCATTGTGAACGCCCATACATGGGAACCATGGGAACCTTATGAAAGCCAATGCATGCGCGGGGATTGTCAAAGCGCGTGCATGGGCTTGTGAAAGCCCACACTGGCTCAAACTTGTGCAAATAGAGTTCAGAAACCTATTGCGAGCACATACACTCAGGATCGCTCAAGTTTTTTTTAGCAAAGCTCTTTGTTTGAAGCTGCATTGCTTTGCAATGCTGGCAAAACCCCCAGCTTCCACCGCTGAAGTGTCCTCAGTGCAGTGGCTCGGCTGCTGACTCGACGTGTAACCCTGGCCGTGTGGCCAACGAAATCTTCATCTTGGGGCGTGGAATCATTTAATGGATTCCAAACAACCCCATGCGCTAAGAGCTGCATTCTCATCACAACAACCACATGATGAAAACAATGACATTTGGGGACCATGTTGAACAAAAACCTTTCACTGTCAAACGCCCACACAGCCAGCCTTTGGTATGCTGTGCAAAAGGCTTGGCCTTTGACCACACAATCCATGGCGTCCTGACCATAGATCCAAACCCCAGATGCGTGCAGCAAATCCCAAAATCTGCAGAAAACCTCTGCAGCCACTTTGATCAGGTCATGCTGCTCAATGTCATTTGCAGGATAGTTCCCACACAGCCACACCACAAAACGGAGAAGGACAATACTGTCCTGCCCTTTGCTCCATGATCCAGAGACATAGTCTTTGACAGAGTACCCCAACAAGGATAGGTTCAGCTGATTTGCATGAAACGTGTGCCTCTGGTTCTTGCAAAAGGTCTTGAGCACTTCATTCATTTTGGCAGCTCTCTCCGGCAAGTTGGGTTCGTCAAACAATTCCAGTAAAACAGTCAAACATGAGCCAACAAAGTCTTTCAAAATCCCTGCGCAGCAAACATGAAACAAATCCAGTTTGAAAAAACTTGCCGGGTGCGAGCGATCACTCAAGCAGCACTCAAGCAACGCAGGTGTCCTCATGTATGGAAGTTTCCCTTGGTCACCGATAGTATTGATCCAGCTCGCCTTGAAGTCATGTCCATTCATCAAAAAATGTTTGCGGGATTTTGCCTAGCTGCGTCCAAGCCACTGTGTTGCTCAGGTCCTCAAAAGGATGATCCCTTGTGCCAGCCATGCACAGCCTCAATGTCAGCATTCTGCACAAGACCCATGCGTGCACGCACTACTATTGATCAATGCTGACAGTCAACCAACAGCATCCAGCCAATTCCGTTGAGTGAACAGCTTCAGGCGCTTTGCGTACATGACTGAATGAGCGCGCAAATCCAGCTGCTTTGACTTGATACGGTAGATCACCTAGACAAGCCAACTCTCCTGCATTGCCATACTATGGGATTTGAACCTGCTGACCACGTCACCTTTCATCCCAATGGTGGCAAACTTGAACTTCAGCCCCCCATAGTTATAGCCCTCCTCATAGAGTCGCTTCATGCCATTTCCTCAGTTCATAATTTTAACGGTATCAACATTATTAAAACAATCGCAACAAACCACAGCGCACATGCAAACAAGATTCCAAAAGCTCTGAACAGTCGGTTCAACGGCTGGAGTGTACCACTGTACATTGCGCGTGGAAGGACACTGAAAAGGAACCGGGTTCCCCAGGTGTTGCCACGGTAGTTGATGGCCAACCCAACTCTACTTGGCAAAGCCTTTTTTGTTCCTCCTCCCAACACTGGCTGCCATTGAAGGATCATCACCTCTGTTCTTTTGAAGTGTCGACCTCCATCTCCATGGAGCTGTACCGGCACAAGGCTGCTTGCATCAACGACACCCTGTCGAAGATCTTCCGAAACATCATGGTTGGGGAAGACCTGTTGGAACCACTTCCAAAAAAGGGCCAAATCTTCACGGCCTGCAGTTGCCCAAAACCCATGTCTCACACGCAGTGACCAACGACACCCAAACGGTCTCATTAATCCAAGGCACACCTCTTCAGGGTCACCCCAAGGGCAGCTTCAAAATGGCCATGTTGGGCCAAAGCTGCAACAACATCCATGGGCTCTATGGCCGGGTAGTTCATGAGCTTCTTTGACACACCCAACCTGACACTTGGACTTTCCCACTCTTTGGGTGCCAGTGCCAAAGAGCATTGACAATCATGCACAAAAAATGAAACAACTCTTGTTCTCCAAGCGTCTGCAGAAATGATATCTTGGCCTGTAAAGTGGCCTTCTTGCAGTCACCCATGACTTTGTGCACATGTTCTTCTGCATCTCTTATTGACCCTTTTGCCAGGTCCTGCAAACACAGGTGGTGCACACAGGTGAGGGCCTTCGCAGGCCCTCAATTACACAGACAGGTCCCACGCTCTCGCTTTAGGCAACTGGTCCCAGCGACCTTGAACATACACGATGCGGCCACCAAACTTATACAACCGGGCCCCAATCCTGCACATCACAATCAGCAATCCCATCTTCTGCATCTATCTGCGCACACTCCACAATGCTTGACGCAGGAACCTCTCAAGCAGAGGGAAGTTGCACACCTGATCACCCAGTTGCACTCCACAAGCAGCGAGTGCCAAGCGCCACACCCCTTTGGCCAACTGGCGGGCAAAGAACCTAGTCTTCCTCGAGTTGGTCTGCTTCAAACCTGGCATGTCCCACTGGGAGCATGTACTCTTTAGTTGCTCGATCCATGCGTGGGCCCAACATGTAAGTCACAAGCCACACTTGGCAGCAAGGGAAACTTTTCACCCCACCACATTGCGTAAGGTAAAAGCGCGAACCATCGTGTGTGCATTCACACACCTAGAGGTTCCCCTCTGGCATCAAATTTTGAGCTACTAGGCAGCGGACTTTCCCCTGTGCCTTTTCTTAGGCGGCTCAGGCTCTTCAGCTGTCTGCTCAGGTTTTGCCTTGGCCTTGGTCTTCGGCTTGGCCTCACCAGTCTTAGCCCGTTTGGCTGGCTGATTACTATCATCTTTCTTCTCCACCTTCACAACCATCTTCCTGCAAGCCAGGCCCAAGTGCCTGTGAAGGCACTGAATGCAACATGCGTGCATTCACATGCTCCTATTCTTGGCTTCAAACGAAATGGCCAGGGCTGCCCTTGGCTCACAGCAATACAACAAACCCATCCATGAGCACACCATTGCACATCATCTCAGTTGCCCACTCCTTCCTGAGTCGCTTCATCAGTCCAGCCACCTTCTCCTCAGTCTTTTGGTTCGACCTTACACAGCTGCACAATCACATGCACAAATTCATGGTTGCATTCTTTGTTGTCAGCAAGCCACCCAGCAGGGTCAGTG